GACTTTAAAGGGATAGTCTGGATAGATACTCGCACAGGACAGAGAATGATCATGGGAGCTTTTTGTGAACAGTTTTCAGAGAAATGCCTTGCTAAGGAAATGGACAAGCCAGACCCCATAGGAGCGAACTCTGAGGGCGAGAGAGAGAGAGAGAGAGAGAGGACCCACCAAACCCTGGGGCTGCTCGGAGCAGCCAATGCACAGACAGGACCGTGGGGTCTGCCCTACCATGAGACACACATGTCCTCACTGACCCATGGCACTACAGGGGACAGCACTGGAGACACTGTGCAGAAAGTGTGCCTGCTGTGCCCCACTCAGTGGGGTGAATGGCGAAGGGAGGGCAACAGGGCAGCAAGGGGAGTAACATAGCCAAGTCCCCAAGGAATCCTGAAAATAGACTTCTGACTCGGGCACAGGGCTTGACATCTCATCAGACTTGATCAGAAAGCATATATCAGGGTCAGTACAGACCTGGAACTATCTGTTGGGTTTTCTGTTTTCCTTTTTCTTTCTCTCTATGTCTATCTAAATAAGATAGGCAGGACAAACAATCCCAAGGAGAAAACAACAGGACCGGCAGTTCCGGAGAGACATGGGAGAGGAGGGGGTGGTGAAGGGGGAGTGGGGAGCCAACTAACTCGGGGATGAGGGAACAACAAGAGATCTAAAAGTGATGGGGAGGAGGGCATATAATGCCTGGTGGGGGTTAATCAAGTGCAATGTATCCAAGAGGAATTACTGAGAACCAAATGGAGGGTGAGCATGATAGTGGGAAAGGAGGAAGGAAATAGAGGAAAGAAATAGGAGGGAAAAGCTATTTATAGAGGTATAACTTTGGAGAGTATATATATGTAAATATATTAATTTATAATGAAAGGGATAGAGGCCAATGTACATATATTTATATATTAAGTGTTAAGATTGCAAGCAGACTTTGGGCCTCTACTCAAGGCCTCCATTAACATAAGAACATTTTTTTAAAATAATCTGACACTCTTTGATACTCACCTTCCTGACACAACTGCTAAGACAAAATGGGTGCATGAGCAACTGTGGCAAAGAAAGCTGATGGTGCTCAGCTATGAAAAGATGTAGCGCCTGAGGTCTTAAAGGCTTGAAGTTAAACAAGCAGCCATCTATCAGGGAAGCAAATAAGCCCACATAGAAGAAGCACACCAGCCTATGTGATCATGAGGTGTTGACAGGAGCAGGTATCAGGTATCAAAAGATCCAAAACAAACAATTATATCAATGTGAAAGAGGGGGGTTGGAGTGGAGATCCAAAGCCCATCTGTAGACAATTGGGCATGCCCCCACAGAGGGGTTACAACAAAGGGCTGATTCAACCAGGATGCAGTATAGCACTGCAAACCACACATCATTCCTCTAGTTCCTGAATGCTTCCTCCCCCAACTACTATGACTAAGTTCTACCTTACAAATCCAGCTAGACCAGAGTACACACATTGGTACAGATAAAGCTCTTGACACATGCAATTCAGGACAGATAAAACCCTCAGGAACAGTAGTGGGAGTAGCGATATCATGAGGCTAGGGGGATGGTGAGGAGAGGGGACATGGGGGAGAAAAGGGAACCCATCACAAGGTTGGATATATAGCACCCCTCCAGGGGAACTAGTAACAGAAAGGTGAGTCAAGGGAGACAACGGACAGTGTAAGACACGAAATAACAACAATAATATATGATTGATCAAAGATTCACAAAGGTGGGAGGGTGGGGAGGGAGGGGCAAAAAGAGGAGGTGCTACCAAGGGCTCAAGTAGCAAGAAATTGTTTTGGAAATGTTGATCCCAACATATGTACAAGGGTGCTTAATACTATTAAATGATGGATTATTAACAAAGATTTGTAAGAGCCCCAAATAAAATGATTAATTAAGAAGAAGAAGAAGAAGGAGGAGGAGGAGCAGGAGGAGGAGGAGAAGAAGAAAGGACAAGAAAGTCGCATCAAGGAGTGTTTTTTCTCTCAGAACGCAGCTGTTCCTTCTTTGAGCGTACCAAGGGCTGTCCTCTGAGAACATCCTTGAAAAGCTCACCTCATCGCCCCCCCCCC